TTATTTTTATTATTATTATTATTATTATTATTATTATTATTATTATTATTAGTGAGCTTTTACGGCGCTCGCTACCTCAGAGCTACCAAGTTATATTATTTTGTCGCTTTTAAGGACAAGCGGGCTAACCCAGATTTTGGGGGTTTCGAGAAATCTTGACTTACACCAAAAGCTGGCATTGCTCTACCTATAGGCAAAGTTTGGTTTCATTGGTGTGCATATTTGTTTGGTTATAGAGAAAACTGTTTAAGTCTTTTTTTAAGAAACGGAACAAGGGGCTAAGACTTTACCTTCTATTTTCTCAAAACAGCATTTTTCGGGATAGAGGTAGAGGACAATGACAATAGTAAGGATGATGAAAGAAAAAGCAGCAGTTTCCCCTACGTTGTTTCGGCACAGTAGTAGCACGGCATTGATAAATCAGCCCTTTTGCGATTCTACTGTGCATAAGGACATGTTAATATCCCCTCTTTGGGACTGGTCTAAAGACAAATTCAGTCAGTAGCACTGCCCTGGTTGGGGGGAGGGGGAGGGGGACATTGGTTAGCTACAGAGGTCCAAGACTTTTGCACAACCCACTCAACCTGTGACGGGGGCTCTTAGTGTCTAGAGATTATGGTGTTTGCTTCTCCTTCAATATTTCAGCGACGGAACATTTTCTTCCCTAAGATTTTATCCTTTCACCCCCTTTCCTGCCCTGTAACCATATTCTGTCGTCTGATTTCGTCTCCACTTTCTCTCTCTTCCCCCTTCCCTCTACCGCCCCCCCCCTTTCTCCGGGCTTCTGACTCGTTCTGCAACCTTTCTACTGCTACTCCTTGGCTCTTTCTTACTGCTGCCTTTCAGCCACACCCCTGACCTTATGGTAGGTAAGATCTTACATCTAGCCTTCTAGTATAAGTACGAAAAAATCTCGGAGGTTCCTTGTGCTAGTTGCGCATGTTAAAGATCCCTCGGTGATCCTAAAATCGAGAAGAGCAGTTGCGAGCCCTCTAAAATAGTTACACCCCCCCAAAAAAAAAATGAAAATGAGCCCATGACACAGATATTTCGGTGTGCAAGTTATTTGCCATGGTCCCAAAGCTCCAAATATATCTATGTGCTAGTCAGTTGCCCATGCACGGATTTAAAAATAAAAAGGGGGGGGGGGGATGACGTCAAAAGGACTTGTAGGTTCGTGGTTTTTACTTTACTTTTATCCACCGCTTATACTAATACCCTTTTGGGTGTCTCGGGAAGAAAGAGACGTCTGTCTGTCGCCAGCCAGAGAGCTTGGGTCATGAGGGATGGCGTGGGTGGTTAATGTTTCCCGGACATCATCTATCCAGGTCTTTCTCGGTCGCCCTTTAGCTCAGAAAAGGACCTTCAATTGCTTCTTATAAGTTCTAGATACTGATGTAACAGAAAGTGAACATACAGGTTCATGGTAACAATTGTAAACATCAAGGCAGTTTTTTGTTTGTTTTTGTAAAGTGTTTTTTTTTCTTTTTTACGGCGCTCGCAACTGCATAAGGGCATATGAGCACGCGGGACACACCTAATATTATTATCAGGTAGGAAATTTTGAATTTTGCCCGGGTGGCGGCCGAAGCCTACTCTTATCGATTTTAGACCACCAAAGGATCTTTAATGTTCGCAACTTGCACACGGGCCCTCCGAGATTTCTTCGCCCTTGTCCAAGAAGGCTAGGTGTATATCTTTCCTACCAGAAGATCAGGGGTGTGGCAGAAAGACAGCAGTAAGAAGGGGCCAAGGAGTAGCAGTAGAAAGGCTGCAGAAAGAGTCAGGAGCCCAGAGGAGGCAAAGGGGGTGAGGGGTTGGGGGCAGAAAGTGGAAATGAAAGCAGACAACAGAACATTGCTAGAGAGTAGGAAAGGAGGTGAAAGGAGACAATTTTAGAGAAGAAAATTTTTCGGTCGCTACCCGGATTCGAATCCGAGACCCTTGAATGAGAGGCCACACCTTAACCTCTAGGCCACGAGAGCCACCCACGGCAGTTCAAAAAAAGAGGGAATTGGTTTGAATAAACTTGTGGACCTTTTGTGTGTCAGAACAATCAGCCTTATGAGTCATGTTACAAAAATATTGCTGCGAGTACTAATGGGAAGATTGAAGAAAAGTCCGAGACCCGAGATATCTAAATCACAATTCGACTGTCTTCCTGACTAGGGCACCAGAAATGCTATATTCGTCTTAACAATGTTAATGGAATGATGTATTGAAGCACAGAAAGATCTGTATTTATGCTTCATAGATTATTTATTCAAAGGCGCTCGATAAATTTAGACATGATGAGATATTTAAAATACTGGAAAAGCTAGACATAGATGGAAAAGATCTAAAAATTATCAGGGATTTGTACTGGTACCAAAACGCTGCTGTACGAGTTAATGGAGAATACAGTAAATATAAGCAGATTAGAAGAGGAGTGAGGCATGGATATATTATTATTATATCACCAGACCTCTTTAGCATGTACAGTGAAACAATCCTTAGAAACATAGAGGGATGTCCAGGTCTCAAAGTCAATGGTGAAAATATTAAAAACATCAGATATGCCGATGACACAATTTCAATAGCAGACTCTGAAAAGGACCTGCAATCGTTTCTAGATACTGTTGTAACAAAAAGTGAATGTAAAGAAAACAGGATGCATGGTCATATCCAAAAAAGCAGCAAATCCTATTAGTAATCACATTAGCAAAACCGAAAAGATCAAACAAGTTCTACGGTTTAAATATCTAGGATATATAATAACATCTAATGCCAAATGTTCCAGAGAAATAAAACGGATAATTGCATTGGCTAAGGCTAGTTTCAATAAAAATGAGTTTAATCCTGAAAAACAGAAAGATGTCAATGATCACCCAAATAAAAGTTCAGAAATGCTGTGTTTGGTCAACCCTTCTTTATGGCTGTGAATGCTAGACAATAAAGACAAAGAAAATAAAATAGAATCAAAAGAAATGTGGTTTCTTGGGAGAAGAAGGAATATCGTGGAAGGAAAAGAAATCAAAAGAGGTAGTGCTTGATGAAGCCCACGTGGGATGCTCACTGTTAAAAACAACCAGGAACGGACACGTGCAATTGTGGGGACACCTGAATAGACATAAAGGTCTTGAACATCTAGCCCTCATTAGCAAAATCAAAGACAAACGAGGCAGGGGTAGGCCCAGAGCAACCTATTCAGGGAACCTAAACAAATGTGTAACGGGGAACGATCAGGGAAACGTAGCTTTTTTAAGAGCATCCGAGCAAAGGATTGAAAGGAGAACCATGATCGCCGATGTCTGTTCGCAGATCTGGCACTGGATGAATGAATCTTTTGTGTTTAGCCATGTAGGCATTTTTTTACTCGGGGAGCCAGGGGGTGTGATTATTTTGGGCTCAGGAGGTCAAAGTTCATGAAGTGTTGATGCTTTTTTACGCCATCATCGAAACAGTTTTTGTTACGACACGATGTAATCAGGCATGCCTTAAGAGGCTTCCAATAACTTCACATGCCCCCCCCCCCCAAGCAATTGACCAGCGGCTGAGAGGCCTAGAGGTTACGGTGTTCGCTTCTCATTCAATAGGTCCAAATATTCAATTAAAAATAACATTTCTCAGCCATGTATAGATCTATATCTAAAAAATCTTAGTTAGGTGTCCACGTCTCTTTTTTCAATCAACATTATATAAACAGCCAAGAGAACCTATACCACCAAGCACTCGGGCTGTAAAAGAAGAGGGAGGCCAAGCAAAAGGGGTATTGGGGGTGTCAAGGAAACCATGAGAAAACATAATATCACAACTGAAAGAGCTGCAGAGCTGGCCTGCCATAGAAAACTGCATCTCACCTCGACGTTTAACGGCAACAGAGGATGAAAAAAAAGTAAGTATATTATAAACAGTGGGCGGTTGGTAGGTACTCTAGTGTGGTTTGCTTTTTCTTTCCTATCAAACATCTCCAATCGTCATCAGATTCTCTCCTGCTCTTTTCCTATCAAACATTTAGGCTATCGTCTTTTTAATCTCTCCTCTTTTTTTCTCTGTATGTTACCCTCTAATAATACCTCTAAACTTCGACACGATTTTAATGATCTATTTGAGTTGCGAGCGCCGTAAAATTCTTTCCAAAAAAACTACATCATTTACATTAAACTTCTTCTTCCTCGTTCTCGTTTTACATTAAACGATTTGAACAAAAGTTTACCCAAGCTTTAAATGAATTTGCCCATTTGTCAATAAAACGTTCCTTTTTTGTATGTGTTTTTTGTTTTGTTTGTTTGTTTGTTTTTTAGAAACTACGTTTCCATTTCCTTCAGGGGGGCTGGCGCTGTGGGACTAAATGTATTTTCGTTTCTGTTTCTGGCTCGGCGTTGTCATTCCAAATAAAGCAAAGCTATCAATTAAACGTCTGCTGGTTAATGACGTGGTGACGCACATTTGTGTCGCGACAAGGTGAAATCAGGCGCTCGTCTATTTTTTTTAGACGAACGGGAATATTGATATCCTCTAAAAGAGTATTCATTTGCCTTGCTTTTGGTGGACAAAGAACATCAGCCCAACATTCTCATCTGTTTTGAATAGAAGTCGAGATATTTGCGATTGAAGGAGATGGGAGTCGCCTGATGGCAGAGGTAAAATCAGCGCGAAAATGGCCGCCAAATTTTGGTGACTTTCAAGTGTGAGTGTCCTGTGAAACTCCAATTCTACTACTTTGGTGTCTTTCATCAGGGTTCTTTTTTCGGTCATAAAAACCACACCGAAACACGTTTTAAATTAACGTAAAAGGTGTTGATGCACCTAAATGAAAAAATCGATGAAAATTACCCAGTAGTTGAAAAAATGTCGGGTTTTTTTCCATTTCATTATTTTGACGAGCAGCTGATTTCACCACGATGCCACACGTGTAGTTAATAGAGGCCCAGCTCTTTGAATGTGTCTGTTGTCCCATTAGTTGTTTGGTTTTTTGTTGTTTTTGTATTTGTTTTGTTTGTTTTTGTTTGTGTTTTTGTCGTTGCTTTTTTTTTTTTCCTCTTCTATAGTGATGAACCGCTTTGTGGGGAAAACATGATATTACTAAAGAGATAAAAGTACACTAGCATTAGTGAAATACCCAACAGACTTCCACATCTCCTCAATTACAATGGACAACACACATTTTAGGGCACTAGGTTAAGGCTTGTTTTAAATTAATTTTGGGGCGCTGATTCCAGAAACGGCTTTAGTTTTATTGGGGGGGGGGGGGGGGGGGGGGGGTTCGTTTCAAGTCAAGTTTTCGTTTTATAAAAAAAAGTGGTAGTTTTCATGTCACTAAAACAACATTCGGGAGTTTTCAAACAGCATAGTCTATAGTTTGATGTACAACTTCGTTTAAATAAATCAGAGGAACGTGTTAAGCATTTGATTGTATGACGTGTGACTTTTCGTCTTTAAAAAAAAGTAAGTGATCAAATACTAATTAAAGTATACTCTGATTTACTGTTTTTGGCTTCTCTGTTGACATCCACCCCTGAACACTCATATTATGACCTTATACAACTGTATGAGACGAAAAATCGTACCAAAACAAACAAAAAAATTAAATCATGCTAATAATTTTTTCTGTTTTCTAAACGAAATAAAATAGACCTATATCCCTGCTTATGCCCTTAAAGATATATTATTGCTCTACCACTATACATTTTGATCTTCAATCTTTACAAAAGAATGCCCCCAAAAAGTCTGGCAAAAGTAGTGGTTTGCTTATAAAGACCGTTGTTTTTTTTTGTCGTAAAAAAAAAATAAAACAGTTTTTAAAGATTTTTGAAAAGTAGTGTACATGATCGAAGTTAAAGTGCGAAAATCAAATGTTTCACAAATCTACTTCAAATCCAAGTCGTTTTAAAGCGTTAAAAGGACAATGCAGAAAGAGAATCAAGAGAACAGCTTTATGTGCGAGCAGTGCTACAGAAAGTTCGATACCTGGCGAGGGCTGAGAGTGCACCAGGGAAAAGTCTGTTTAAAGAAGAGAAGACAGTGCAGATCGTCAGATTGTAAGACGCGAAGCAAATCATCCCAGGATGAAAACCACAGCGGAGCGATTAGTGCTTCAGTCGACTCTCCTTTCACCCTGTCTCAGCAAGAGATGGAACAGCAAACGGAACCAGGGTTACGGAAACCCAGAATACTGTGGCCTGCTGCTAACGAGAAGGCAAAATACAAGACGTTAGAAGAAGAAGTCCAGAAGAAATTGAAAGAAGTCAAAAAGAGTTCTAACAGAGGGGATGCTAAAGAAATATTGAGTGCGTTTGCGACCATTATCTATGACTCGGCAATAAAAGAGTTTGGTATTTGTGAAGGAAAGAAAAAGACGGAGAAGAAAAGTGGATTGAGTAGAAGGCAGAGAGTACTTGCACAGCTAAGAAAACAGAAACGAGACTTGCAAAAGCAGAAAAAGTACGCACCACCAGAAGAGATAGAAGGCCTAAGAATCTTGTTTGAAGATCTTAAGAAAAAGAGCAGAGACCTACAGAGGCACGAAAGAAGGTGTACCAGGAGAAAAGAGAGAAAAAGGGAACGTGAACAATTTCTGAAGAATCCTTATGAAGCAGCAAAAAAACTGTTCACAGAGGCACGGAGTGGTAAATTGGAATGTACGAAAGAGGAACTCGATGCTTATGTTAAGCAGACGTACAGCGATTCAAGAAGAGAAGAACCGCTTCCTTATATGAGAGGCCTGAAGCGTCCAGCTGCCCCCGTCGTCAAATATTACCTGGGACCAATTAGAGAGAAAGAAGTAGATGAGTTCGTAAAAAAAGCAAGAGCAAAAAGTGCACCTGGAGGAGATGGCGTGTCTTATAAGGTGTTCAAGTATTGCTACACGCTGGGACACACCCTCTTTGAGATGCTAAGAGGCCTTTGGAAAGACAAAGAAATCGTCAAAGATTGGTGCAGAGCGGAGGGCGTGTATCTACCCAAAGAACAGAATGCAAAGGAGATAGGACAGTTCAGACCTATTTCAATCATCAACGTGACGTGCAAGATCTTTATGGGAATACTTGCAAAGAGGACTGTAGCATATTTGCAAAGTAACGGCTATGTGGATGAAACGGTACAGAAAGCCGGGGTACCAGGGATCCCAGGCTGCATCGAGCATGCTTTCACCATTTGGGACACAATCCAAGAGGCCAAGAAAAACAAGGAAAGTTTAAACGTAGTGTGGTTGGATCTGGCGAATGCCTACGGGTCTGTTCCCCATAAATTGCTGATGAAGGCAATGGATTTTTTCTACGTCCCACAAGAGGTGCAAAACATTATGAGAGGATACTATAGTAACTTCCAGATGCGATTCTCAACCGCAAATTTCACAACGGAATGGCACCGACTAGAGATTGGGATTGCAGCTGGCTGCTCTATATCGGTCATCTGGTTCATCCTGGTAATGGAGATGCTACTGAGATCTGCAGAATGCTGTGAAGAAGAAGCAAAGGTGAGATCACCAAAGAAAGCCTTTATGGATGATGTGACCCTACTGACAAGAGATGGAGACACAATGCAAAGTGTGTTGAATCGGCTCGATAAGCTTATCACCTGGGCCAGGATGAAGTTTAAAGCTAAAAAGTCTAGAAGCCTGACTATTAACAAAGGAAAACAGAAGCAACTGAAGTTCACAATTGCAGGGGAGCAAATGCCCACAGTAAAAGAACAACCCGTGAAAAGTTTGGGTCGGTGGTACTCAGGAACTCTGTCTGATAGGAGTCAAGGCGTGGAAATCATGAAGCAGGCTGAAAATGGGCTGAAAGCAATTGACCAGACAAAGCTTCCAGGAAAGCACAAGATATGGTGTCTACAGTTTGCCCTCTACCCTCGATTGGCGTGGCCACTGACAATGTATGAAGTTGCTTTGTCAAGAGTTGAGATGATCGAAAGAAAGTGTAACAGCTACATCAGGAAGTGGCTGGGGCTACCCCGTACCATTAACACGTCATCCCTGTACAGACATAGAGGTGCGCTTCAACTACCTCTCACGTCAATTGTGGAGATCTACAAAGCAGGCAAGATTAGAACCGTTTTGATGTTGAGAGAATCAAGGGATAAGGAGATCAGTGGAAAACCTCCAGATGTCAAAACAGCCAGAAAGTGGAAGGCAGAAGTTGCAGCTAACGAGATCATCTCTGCATTGGAGCATGGGGACATTGTCGGTCCAGCGCAACCTGACAGATTAGGGCTAGGTAATGGCGACTTTAGACCTTTCAGGAAAATGTCTCAGCGAGACAGAAGAAAAGCTGCAACAAGACATATGCAAAAGATGGAGGCAGAGAGGCGAGAAATTCATCTCATCCAGTGTAGCCAGCAAGGACAAATGACCAGATGGGAAGAGCATGTTGTGGAAAGAAAAGTCGGGTGGAGTGACATCTGGAAGTGGAATACATCAAGGCTGAGCTTTCTTCTCCGGTCTACGTATGATGTTCTGCCTTCACCGGTGAACCTTGTCAGATGGAAGGTACAGGAGGACAACAAGTGTAGATGCGGTAAGCTAGGAACCATGAAGCATATTTTGTCAAACTGCAACCTAGCTGTTAACAGATACACCTGGAGACACAACGAGGTGTTGAAAGTGCTCACGAAAATGGCGACACAACAGGTGGAAGAAGGAAAATATGCCCCCAAGATACAGAAGCATGGACCCACCAAGATTGCGTTCGTTCTGCAAGGAAGCAAGGTTGCCAAAAGAAAGAAAGCGAACGAAGCCATGAAAGACCAGAGCGGAGGCACATGGGAAGTAGCTGCTGACTTAAAAGGCTTTGAGAGATTCTTCCCCATTCCAACTACGAAAAAGCCAGACATTGTGTTATGGGAGGAAAAAGACAAAGAGGTACACTTGGTAGAGCTCACGGTGCCCCACGAGGACAATATCTATGCCGCTCATGAGCGGAAAGAAAACCGTTACGAGGCACTCGTCGAACAATGTGAGGAGGCAGGATGGAAGGCAACCCATTTTCCGGTAGAGGTAGGATGCAGAGGTTTTGTAGCAACAAGCGCCCGTAAGTGGATGAGAGTGGCAGGACTTACTGCAAAGAAAAGCAACGAACTCACAAACTCCCTTCAGGAGACAGCAGAGAAAGCCAGTCATTGGATCTGGTTGAAGCGAGAGGACTCAAGCTGGAATGAATCCTAAAGTTGGCAGCAGAGGAAAACAGTCGAACTAACATGGAGACCTCACATCGGTGAGGGGGCTCGGTGCGTCAGAAAAGCTGTAGAGAGGAAGAGCCCGAAACAGCGACGCATTCTCTCCTGATGATCTCCATGCTAGAGTCCGGGATACGGAGCGTTCGACGGTGAGCAGTGCATACGGCTGTTTAGACTACGTACCAGAATTCAATGATTTTGATAACAAAACGATTTATCAGAACTTTTGGGTTCAAGACCGAAGGGAAAACATCGTCTTCGTCTCCGTCTATCCCGTGGTTGGGGCAACCGTGGGGGCACCACTGCATCTGAAAACCAGCTCTCGCCATCTATTTTTGTCCTCTGCTTTCCACAGATTGTCACCCATCGTCTTTCCTGTCCACTCTGTAATGTTGTCCTCCCATCTCCTTCTCTGCCTCCCTCTCTCTCTCTTCCCTTGTACGGTTCCTTGCAGGATTGTTTTGGCAAGTCCTGTGGATCTTGAAGGAAAACGTACTGTCATCCAAATTAATAATGTTTTATAAATAGTTGGGAACAGGAAGAACTCCGATATTTCGCAATATACAAGGAATTTGTCTTCTGTCACGACGTGCGGGGTTGTTACGTGCACTGGGTGTTTTTTGTGTGTGTTTTAGTAAGGTTTTACGGCACTCGCAGCTGCATACGGTCATATGAGCGCCAAAGGGTGGATGTCAACAGAGAAGTCCAAACGGGGAATCAGGCTTACTCTGCTCACCTCTCTAGCTTCAACAGCACAAATTCTGCTTTGACTATCAAGGCACCCCGGAAATAGAGGGTCACCAATGTGTAACACACACATAAAAGAAGTAGAGGTAAAATGGCGATAGTAAGCATTAGAAAAGAAAAAGGAGCAGTTCCAAGTTGCAGTTCAGGCACAGTTATGAGCATGACATTGATGATCAGCCTATTTACAATTACAATTCTACTGTACATATGAACACGGTTAATGTCCTAAAGAAACTTCAGTCAGTAGCACTGCCCTAGGGGATGCACTGGGTGTGTCTGACTATGATCTGAATGAGTGGAGACTCTTCTCATTCTGTGTTGACTTGAATAGAAGGACCACAGCTAAAAGATTTGTGCGTGAGGCATCGCGGTGAAATTGAACGCTCTTCAAAGAAATGAAATCAAATCAAAGAAACTAGCATTTTTCTGTCCGTTTGGTATATTTTATTGAATTTTTGTTTTTTGGCTCAACAAATTGTAAGTTAGTTTTAAAGTACATTTCTGAGTAACTTTTACTGAGAAACATTGATCAAAGCTCAAAAATCGTAATTTTTCTTTTCTCCAAGGACTCTCAAACTATTGGAATTACGAAATTTTCAAGACCATTTGGTCGATAATTTTACCTCTTAAACTAGAAAACCCCTTTTTCCTTCAATCTCAGATATTCCGATTTCTATTCAGCTTTCTGTCGATATTTTTTTCACCAAACGCATGATGAATAAATAGTGTTTGAAATAATACCAATAACCCCATATGTCCAAAAAATGACGAGCGCATGATTCCACCATGTCATGCCACCTTTGTGTTGATCTGAAAATGGACAACTTCTTTCTTATTAACAAAAACAGTGACTATACAAAGTATCCATGATCTCTTTGTCTTTTGGGTAGTCAAAGGAAAAACACCGGGCGGGAAGAAAAGATTTCGGACTCAAAAGAGTTGATCGTCAAATCATTGTGGAAACAGTGCGTACTGCTTGTGAACGGAAGTCTCACTTGTTTACAATGGCTCCATAGAAGATAGATTTTCCCAAGATTAGATCCTAACGAAACTAATGAAAAACTGAAAATTAAACTACAGTGACGCCAGGCTCCTTAATAGAACTGTACACTCTTTACATGATTCTGAAACACCATTATTTTTTTGTATTCAAAAGTTTATATTTCAGGCGACTAAAACGGCGAACTTTCACAAAATTTTAATATAATAATTTAATAATATAGGCCTAGAGAATAGGCTCGATGAAATTACTTACTTACGTACTTACTTGGTTGGAGAATAGGCGTCGTTGCAGGCGGCACAATGCTATAGCTGCTCCTCCCTCCTCTACAGGATCCCTGAAAGGGTCTGCCTACTGATCGTGCCAGTTAACATCCGGTTGGATATTTTATTTTCTGGCTTTACCAGGCAGGTTGCTGTCTCTCCCTGACCCTCTACAGACATCAGCTTCCCTTAGTCTGTCCATTGTGTGTGAAGTGATGCCTTCATCCTCCCTGTGGTCGTTGAACCATTCGTGGAAGCCCTGGGCTTTGAGTTGGGCTGGGCTGTTTGAAGTATATGTACGTATTTTTCTAATTTCAGCTACGCGAAAAATAAGGGGTGGGTGGGGAATGTTGGCACTTAAACCTTGACTTCCATGGTTCATTGATGTTATTCTTCTCCCCTACTTTTAAATCTGTCCCTACTGGTCAAATCTTTTGGAGAAACACACACACACACACACACACACAGAGAGAGAGAGAGAGAGAGAGAGAGAGAGAGAGAGAGAGAGAGAGAGAGAGAGAGGAGAGAGAGAGAGGGAGAGAGGGAGACAGAAGGGGAGACAGAAGGGGAGACAGAAGGGGAGACAGAAGGGGAGACAGAGGGGGGGGGAGAGAGCGCGAGAGAGAGGAAGAGGAAGAGAGGAGGAGAGAGAGAGATAGATATATAGATAGAGAGAGAGAGATAGAAGAAAGAAAGAAACTGACAGACAGACGGACGGACAAACAGACAGACAGACAGATAGACAGACAGACAGATGTATAAAACAGCTACTGCTACCATTAAGCCCAAACACGGTGTAATCGTAGTCTCAAAAGCAAGCAACTGCTGGTACAACTGAAACTTATCACGACTCTGTGGAATCGGGTGCTCGTCAATTTTTGGGCAATGGAGTTATAATGTCCATTTGTCCTTCTTTTGATTAAAAAGATCCCCACCCATCTATCTTGAGTAGAATTCGAGAAATTTGCGATTGAAGGATGTGGGGGTCGGGTGGTGATAGAGTTTAAATTAGCCGGGAAATCGGCACAAAACTCTGGTGTCTTCCAAAGATAGCATGTCTTTAGAAACAGCATTACTACTTACACACTGCTATGCCTTAGATCAACGTTTTTCGGTAAAATTAGGAAAGAAGTGTGCTTTCAAATTGATGCAAAGGGTGTTACGAAAAAAAAAAAACCAACAAGAAACAACCCCCCCCCCCCCCCCCCCAAACAAACAAACAAAAAGAACAAAAAGAAATAGAAAAAAAAAGCCCAGGAGGCGGAAAATAATTAATATTAGGCCTACGATTTCTTCGATTTCAATATTTTGACGAGCGTCTGAGCGTCTGATTTCACCACAATGCCATACAAAAATATTAATAATTTGCTGTTATAATTTCATAATCTGAAACATCACGTGGAGTCACACGAGACTGAGCATGATTCTGGACATCCGTCCCAAATCCGGCTAATCGCAAACACGGTGATCTCGTGTATAGTATAGTCTGGTCAATCATCACTATAATATAAGCTTATAAAGTCTTTCCTTTATCCGATAACACATTACGTAATTCGAATTACTCATTAACTTTCCCGACTGTGAAATCTTGTTTTTAATTTTCTTTCTTTAAAACGAGCGATTGGGGGGGGGGATTTGGGGATTTTTCATAAATTTTATTATCTTTAAAATCAATTGTAATGTCCAAAGACTTAGGGGTAGTTGGAGGGCGTCCCTCTTCTTTTCTGTCTATGACTGTGTTGTTTTTGGCTGTTTTCTTTGTTTCAGTAAGGTTTTACGATGATCGAAACTGCATAACATAAGGTCATATGAGCGCAAAGGGTTGGATGTCAAAAGAGAAGTCCAAACGGGAAATCAGGCTTACTGTGCTCACCCATCTAGCCTCAATCGCAGTATCTATTCGGAGACACCTCAGAATGTTTTGTGCCTCTAGATCAAGTAGAAAAATCTCTGGGGTTACAGGGGGGGGGGGGGGCATCCCCCCACCCCTTTTTTAAATCCATAATTTGATATTTTGCTATTAGGTTTGAAATGTTCCTGAAAATAACTGATTTGCGACAGTTTTAGTGGCAATATGTGTGATCTACAGCAAACAATACGCAGTTTGACCTCCCAAAGCAGTGCATCTGTGCGAGGGAGTGCGTCTCCGAATATTTCCTGGGTCCTCACCGGAGACGTCTCAGAATAATCTTCTGCCAGCCTCAACAGCACAAAGTCTGCTGTGACTATCAAGGCACCCCGAATATAGCAGTTCACAAGAGAGTGACAAATATACGAAAGAGGTAGAGAGAACAAGACGATAATAAGGATGAGGAAAGAAAAAACAGCAGTTCCGCCGATGTTGTTCCGGCACAGCAGTATGAGTATGAGCATGACATTGATAAATCAGCCCTTTTACAATTCTACTGCGCACAAGGATGTTAATATCACCCCTTTGGGAATGGCCGAAAGACAATATTTGTCGGTCAGTAGCACTGCCAAGTGGGTGGGGGGGAGGGGGCTTTTTGACTGTGTTACTGGGTCTCTCAAGTATACAAGTTGGCCACCCTATGCCACAAATGGTTGAATGATAATGCCCCATCTAATCTGTTGAGAATATACATTCCACCTCGCAATTTAAGGTCATCAGCTGACAAAAAGAAATTTCGGTTACCATATGAAACTTAAAACAATGGATGAAAGGGCTTTTGAATACCAAGGCCCCAAGATCTGGACTGCTTTGCCAAGTACTTTGACCAGTTCACTGCCCTGCAACAAGGGGAGTTTTCTCTATAACCAAACAAAAAATGTGAGGCACCGTGGTGGAATCAGGCTCTCGTCAATTTTGGGCATGTAGAGTTATTGGTATCATCTTAAAGCTTGTTCACTTGTCTTTATTTGGATGAGAAAAATATCCATTTATCTTAAATACAAGTCGAGATATTTTTGCGAATGAAGGAGGTGGTGGTCACGTGTTTTCAGAGGTAAAATAAGTGAGAAAATGGCCGCCAAATATTAGTTATTTCCCTTGCTGAAGAGTCCGTGGTAACTGAAAATTTTTTTATTTTTTTTTGGTACCTTTAATCAACGTTTTTCAGAAAAACCCACACAGAAATGAGTTCTTTAGTGGGCATGAAAGGTGTTGAGCCAAAAAACAAAAATTTGATTAAAATCCACAAACCTGCTGAAAAATGCAAGTTTCTACACTTTGATTATTTTGACGAGAGCCTGAATCCACCACGCTGCCTCACAAATACATACCAATGAGACCAAACGTCTCTTATAGGTAGGGCAAGGCCTACCTTTGGTGTTGGTCAAGATTTCTGGAAACCCCCGAAATCTGGGTAAACCCGCTTGTCCTTAAAAGCGACCTTTTTATTTAATAATTCATAATTTGATTTCGTTCACTCTTGAGCTGTGTTCTCTTCCACACGTCGCCCTTCGACCCCTGGGTTGGCCAGTCGGTGTTCCTCTGTGCTCACAAAGCAGTCTCGTCTTGTCTACAAGCTCCGTCCGTCCGGTCTCCGTTCTCGTTGTTTTGCTTGCTTTCAAAACATTTACTCACGCTCTCTCGCCACAGCTCAAGTATCTTTCAAATACTGCCCATTTTGTTTCTGTATTATTAAAGGTGTATGTAATTTTTCGTTGAAAATAATCCGAAATCGTGTTGGGTGTGTGGGTAGTGTCGCTAAAAGTTGTTTGTAGTCTAACTTGCCAAATGATTTATCTGTATGCTCCTAAGGTTTGGAGTCTAATCTAGTGGGTGTCTGGTGTTTGTGGTCGGAGTGTGTTTAGAAAGATTGTTTTGCACATATCTACTTGTGCGTCTGCGTTTGAGTTGAGTAATTTTGTTAGTGTGTGTTTGGTCTGTTGGATGTGCGGGCATGTGTAGAATATAAACTAGTCAACACAAGTTAAGGAACGTACTGTAAAAAGAGTGATATATTTGTATGCATTCTTTCGAAGTTTTACTTTTACTCATAAAACTAGATATTGGTGAAATGTTACTCTATGACTAATGGGATTGTACACACCAGGGTTTGAAGTGCACGTGACTCCTGTGCGATGAGCTGGGGAGGGGGCAAAAAGGTCCAATGTTTTCCAAT